GTGTGTGCGCGTGCGTGCCTGCGTGCGTGCGTGCGTGCGTGCATGCGTCTCTCTCTCTTTCTCACTCTCCCCTCTCACTTTGTCTCCTTCTCCTTCACTGTCGCTCTCTCTCTCTCTCATACATACATACTCACTCTCGTCTCTCATGTCTCCTTAGGTGTAATCGCCACTGAGTTTGCTGACCTGGGCGAGGAGAAGACGCGCTTGCCAGGCATCCTGCGCATCTACGCCGCCTACGACACCGGTCTGGCACGAGGCACGAGCATCAAGCTGCATGTTACACCGCGGACCACCGCACGCGAGGTCAGCCTCCCTCGCGCCCGGCTCCTCTGGCTTCACCAGTCATCCAAGCCCCCTCGACCACTTGCCGGACTGTTCTCTCCTTAGGCGCCAGCTTACCCTCGTTATTACAGATTGCCACCAAGCTCGCGCCCCGTTAGCATTGCCCTGGGCGGTGGCTTTCCTAGATGTGACATAAAGCTTCCTAAGTTTAATCTTCCACCTGTTATTTCCATTACTGCGGGCTGATTGGTTCGTCTTGCCTTTACATGCGATTAATGAATAAAGACCAGTAACATTTGTGTTTTTATTCACTCCTGCTTTTTGCGATTGCACATGACACTGAATTACATAGACGGTCGTTACTTCTTTATCTCGTCTATCAACTCCCCCCCCCCCACCCACCCACCACCATCGCACAGTATGAGGCGTGACGCTAAACACTAGACTGCTTCTGCCGCCAGGTCATCAATCTCGTCGTGCAGCAACTCAACAAGACCGTGCTCATGAAGGGACTGTCGGAACCCATCTATACGGAGGAGAATCTCGGCGACTTCTGCCTGGTGGCCGTGATCGGATCGCGGGAGCGCTGCATGCCCGACGACTACCAGCCGCTGCAGTTGCAGAACCCGTGGACGAAGGGCCGCCTGTTCGTGCGCCTGAAGACCAACCTTCTAGCAGCGATAGAACACGGCAATGCCACCGCCGTCTAGCGCACAATCGAGAGCTTATCGTATCATATATTATATTCGGGGAGGGGGGTCTATGTCAGGCATTTAACGCAGAGTCTAGAGGCAAACGTCACACTGTGTGCGTGTGTGTGTGTGCATCCCGCGCTATTACGTCATGGTCCGTAGCTTGGGAGGACGGTACTGCCCCAAACTCCACGACAGATGGCGCTCTTGCTCTGGCTCCTGAGTTGTACGAAGGGGGCGCGGCATGCGGTTTGGTACTGCCCATGTAGGCAGCTCACCACTCTCGCTATGCTATCTAGTGATTTGCATCTAGTGTCTAGTATGCGAACAACATCCGTGTGTTCGCATATGGGCGCAGCGTTTCCTGCGTCATTGCTAAAACCCGGCAACTTCCCCCGCCAACTACATGCCGTAGATCGTGCGTTTTGGATGATCTAAAATGTTCTACATAACTGTCGCTGATGCTGAATTAGAGACAAACATGTTTACATCCGTATGCATGTCGCATGGAAGGAGAGCGAGAGAGCGAGAGACCCCCCCTATACCTTACACATGTGACGAAAGCAGTCGATTGAATCTGTTATGCGTAACGCTTAATCGAGAAAGATTATTATGTTGATGTGAAATCTGACGATGCCCGAACAAAAACCAAAGTTATTGTTTGAATTGTATATTGTGAATCGTTAGTTCTTTTTTGTCTGGATAAAGTAGTGTTATGTTACAGTATTGCATTTATCACTGAACGGTAATTTCTATTTATTTTGCCTTCATTTTAAGATCTGTAACAGTTCCATCTATGTTCTATGTGCATGAGGTTTAGTAGTTTGTCGTTTTTTATCAGTAATTTTAGTCGACAAATTAGACATAAATGCATCTTCTATTATGTGTTTACTCTTGTTTTCCCTCGACTGGCAACTATCAAATCAAAATGTAAAAGATAGTAAAATTTATCTTACATAGGTGAAAACAAGTTCCAAGATAGCAGCAGATTCTCTTTAATTGTTAAAACTATTTTTTATCTTAAAACCTCCATATTTACTCCGCGCAGGACTCGTTCACTCCGCAGATCATGTGAGAAAGATCATGCTTGGTTGGCTAGCTCATGAAAACTTCAGGCGTAGATGGCCATTCCATGCATCTGCAGTCATCGTCCGTCTATTCCCGAAAAACAGTGATAGTTCATAGAAATTGCATAGTTCAGTTAAAAAAATATGCCAGTTTTCATGTTTCATCGAATGATGGTGCTTCTAGGATTTGTTCACATTTATTTTAAGGGGGGGGGGGTGAGGGAGGGGCGGGAGTTGTATGTGCCACTGAGGCTAGCACCCGCTCGACTGTTCTGATGTATATAATATAATCATGTGAAATAAGAACGAGGATGAATGCTATCTTAGGTCATTCCAAACGTTAGGTAAGAAACAAACATGGCCTGCTATTACCGTTGATAATCCCAATTCGTATTTATTTTGTTTATAATGTGTCGAGCAAGTAGGTATAGTATTCTAATTTACGACATTCCATTTTATTCGATTAGTAATAAGCAGCTATTTTATTAGACACTCGTGCGTGGCGTTATGTTATGGCCCTATCGTTAATGAGCATTCGGGTTTAAAAGATGCTTAAGTCAAACGAGTTGCACAAGTTAATATAACCGTTGTAAATACGTAGAATATTTAGAATAGACGTAGAATAGACAAACCCGTACTAGTAATTAGCTATTAGTATATACACATACACATACATATATCTATATCTATATCTATATACAACATTGCGTCTGCGTTTTATAGCTGATTGTCTTTCCGTGTGATCACTCTAGAGAGACCGTCTCGATAGAAGCAATGTGCGGCCATGTACGATCTCCAGTCGGTTCTCATCAGTATTACATTTCATGCCAAAAAAGGTTCACTATAACGTTTTTCCGTCGAGCCAAACAGACAGGGGACTTTACCACATCCGTTCGGCCGTTCGTAACCCGGACGAAAACGCCGCCCGATGACGTCATCCTGCCCCTAAGTCGTCACGAGGTCGCGTCGCTGGGGGGGGGTGGTAGTTTTGTAATACGTCACGGTGGCCGTTCTCGATGTACCCAGCTCGCCCACACTACTCCACGGCTATATTACGGACGGTGGGTATTAGACCTACTCATGTGGCCCTTCGCCCTCTCCACCCAACGAGGGCCTGTTGAAGGGCTACACTGGTAGTGATGTGTCTATACATCCGTGGCGCAGGGTCCAAGACGGTTGTGCTGAGATATCCTATAATATACTCATATGGTACATAATATAATATACTAATATATATATATATATATATATATATATATATAATGTAGTATTATGGGATATCTCTTCGTCGGGGCTACGTACTGGGTGGCGGTTGCAGCCATGCTATGTGTCTGTCGGTGTTTCTGTGTGTCACGCTAGCTTATGTGTGTAGACCGTCATTCTATCACTTCGTAGCATAGCTCTACCTTATTAGCAACATGGGGGGAATGTCGTGCCATGAAGGGGGCTGGCTGGCTACGCGGGCACAGCTATTACTAGCACTGTATTGTCGCAGGTTCGGAGAGAGAAGTGCGTCTTGCGCCTCTATTCGGCAGCTTTGTATATATGTATAACCAGCTCGTAGTAGCTGGCTAGAGCATAAATATTTTACATCTGCAGTGTACAGTTGTTAATGTATGATGTACGTTTCCTGCATAATGACCTAAGCTTACGCCAGTACAAGATGTATGTATGTATGTATGTATGTATTTATGAATGTATGTATATACGTGTACAGGCAGGTATGCGTAGGCTGGCTGTGCTGTCGGGGAAGGCAAGATACGGGCGCGTTAGTGAAGCGTTATTAGCTAGCATATAGTTAGCTATATTGTAGCTAGTTAGCTACATTGTACACATGTATTATGGTCTACGTTTACGTGTGTCAGTGGTTAAACTGACAATAAATCTGTTACTTATTGTAGAAATGTGCGATTTCGAGTTTATATGCTTGCCTATATTGTATTTCTTCATTGCTTAGAACGAGCTAGTCGTTCTACGGCCACACCGACTCGTATGGTGCCCCTTTTCTCTCCAGCATGAATCTCGCCTGTTGTGTGTATAGCCGGCTCGAGCGCCTCATAATTTCTAAAGGGAAACTCAAACATAATCAACAAAATTCAGTAAATAAGCATACTCTCGGGGATGCGCTTTCTCTCATTTAAACGCATAATTTCAACACATTCGACACATGCGATTTATATTTGCACATACATGCCACGCGCAAACCCAGACCTCGCCTTGCAAAACGGAAAATTACTGAAAATATCTATATGTAGCCGACAGCCATATCTGCGCTCGCGCATAATGCCCAATAGGTAGAAACACACGTGTAATATTGGCGCGTTTCTGCGATTCGACTGGACAGCGGCTCATTGAGAATGGCCTGATGTTAAAAATCCGGCGACAATGCTTTTCTGCCGATCTTACGTGCTTAAAATGAAGAGGGGAATGCCCGAGAGCTACAATTCGCTACGGTCGCAGTATTATATATACATTAGCATAGCGGGGAACCCAGGGCGTGATACTGCAAGCGAAGAGAAGCATGTAGATTAGATTTTACCATGCACACGTGCTGTCAGCCTGCCCGGCTCCATTTTGAACGTATAAGAACTTCCGAAAAAGATTATATTGGCAGTCATCGGCGACCGACGTCGCAGAACCATTTGCCCATACATTACCATAGCTGGGAATCGCGACGCGATGCTGTGAGCGAAGTGAAGCATGTAGATCAAATTTTATCATGCACACGTGATGTCAGCCTGCCCGGCTCCAGTCTGAACGTATAAGAACGGCCGAAGAATATTATCTTGGCAGTCAACTGCGAGCGACGTCGCAGCACCATTTTCCCATACATTAGCATATAGCTGAGAATTGGGGCGCGATGCTGCGAGCGAAGTGAAGCATCAGGGGCGGATTCAGACCGTATTTGCCGTATTGGGAAATACGGTCTAGATTTCAAAGTGCCCTTCGAAATTTACAGAAAATACAAAAAATACAGAAAACAATTTGATGGAATTTGGCTATATTCTTTATTTGTTTTCTTTTTGTTCTGATTCATTGACAGGACTTGAAGGAAATCAAAATTTTACATGGTAACAAAACTAGCTTTGATATCTGAAAAAGAAGGGAAGTGCTTGAATCATTCTGCATTAATTGCTGGTATGCAAAGCGCAGGCAAAATGAAGCAGAAATAAAATTCCATATGGTTTTTAGCTATTGCTGCTTGACTAAATGTGTGCTCAAATGGTGCTCATTTTTGTGCCCAGGGACCTTTGAAATTGTGATTTCCTGGGGGAGGCCCCCCAGATCCCCCGCCATGTGCTTCGCGCCTAGCGGCGCTCACTGTGGAGTGGGGTGCCTTTTTTGGGGAATGTGCCCTTAAAATCTGGAAAAATACTGTCTAGCCTCAGCCCTGGATCCGCCCCTGAGCATGTAGATAAGATTTTCCCATGCACACGTGCTGTCAGCCTGCCCGGCTCCAGTTTGAACGTATAAGAACGGCCGAAGAATATTATCTGGCCAGTCAACGGCGACCGACGTCGCAGCGCCATTTGCCCATACATTATCATAGCTGGAAATCATGGCGCGATACTGCGAGCGAAGTGAAGCATGTACATGTAGATCAGATTTTACCATCCACACGTGCTGTCAGCCTGCCCTGCTCCAGTTTGAACGTATAAGAAATATATATATGATCGTATATTGCTACGAGGCCCTCGATTGGTCTGTTGCTAGGAAGCCCACGATTGGTTGGCTGCTACGAGGCCCATGATTGGTCGGTTGCTACGAGGCCCACGATTGGTCGATTACTAGAAGGCCCACTATTGGTCGGTTGCTAGGGGCCCACGATTGGTCGCTTGTCAAAAGGTTTACGATTGGTCGATTGTCAAAAGTCTCACGATTGGTCGATTGTCAAAAGGCTCACGATTGGTCGATTGTCAAAAGTCTCACGATTGGTCGATTGTCAAAAGGCTCACGATTGGTCGATTGTCAAAAGTCTCACGATTAGTCGATTGTCATAAGGTTCACGATTGGTCGATTGTCATAAGGTTCACGATTGGTCGATTGTTAAAAGGTTTTTACAGTAACATTTTTACGAACTAATTATTAAGAAATCTTTACTAATTGCTAACGCACTTACTCCTTAAGCAGGTAAACGCTACGTAAAAACATTCTAATTAGATTCCGATTTTCCATAAATTAGTCATGCCGCTTGATTGAAAAGCGAACACAAACCTATACAACGATCTTTCAGATTATCTATAATAATTCGCATTCAGCTTCATTAATTACGACCATTGTCTCTCATTTCTAAACCATCCTTTCAAAATCGAGAATAATTTCTCACTTCGCTTTTTTTTCTTTATAATCCCGGTACGCTTTGCAGTCATCGAAACGACAACGGTAAAAATTCGCACGCGTAATGCAGATTAGCGGCGCGATAAAAAGTCGTGTGCCGATATCGCGCGTGACGTTACGGCTGTTTTATGGCCGACGATAGCGACAGTGCGAGCCGGTCGGCGTGTGGCGGGGAGCTTTCACGGCTGGTTAGCGCACGCGGCGAAGGCAAAGCTGCTGCAAGTGCTAAATCGACCACGTCCTCCATTAATTTGATTTGTGTCGAAGCCGCTGCTCGCGTCCGCAGCGTTGCTGTTTGTGTTTGTCACACGTCGCCCGCCTGCCTGCGTGCGTGTGTGTGTGTGTGTGCGTGTGTGTGCGTGCGTGCGTGCGTACGTGCGTGTGTGTTGGGGGGTTGTGTGTGTGCGTGTGTGTGCGTGAGTGCGCGTGTGTCTGTGCGTGTGTGCGTTCGCGCGTGCGTGCGTTAGTGGGTGCGCGTGACTGCATGCGTGCATGCGTAAGTGTGCGTGCGCGTGACTGCATGCGTGCATGCGTAAGTGTGCGTGCGCGCGTGCGTGCGTGCGTGCGACTCGCGCTTGTCCTCTCCTCTCGACGCAGGGCGACGAAATTTAAGTGGGATATGCAGGCGGTAGTCACGTCTTCACACACGCATTAAGCCGAACCATCGCATCAAGAGACAACCGCAGAAGCTAAACTAGATCATAGCGACGACTAAAGCACGTATAGTCGCCCTGCTCTTGATCGTGCTGTCGATGGTGTTCTCTCCGACAAGTGTCCACTCGAATGAGCGATTCCTCGCGCAGCAAAAATGCGCTGTTGTTGCCATGCAGATCCTCGTCAATATTACGTAGTCGTACATCGGCTACTTGGCACAGGCGGGCACCGGTTAGCTGAACATCACGAAATATTATATAGATGGTCTTCAGGGATGTATAATTAAGCAACGGCAAACGTAAATAGGCGGATAATATGTCACGTATTACGTCCCAGCTTGTAGTAAACGTAAGCTTATAATTTAACTTAGTCAGTTAGACATGTTTTAACATTGGTGTGTGCTTGCGCGCGCACATGCATGCGTGTGCTCGGGATGTCTACATTTTGTCAATATGTAGCGCGCATGGAAAATCGAAAAAGAAGTTATTAATTGTAGTACCATTAGTTTGCAGTTTTTAGGTTTGACGCCTGAAGCTTAAACATTGATGGTTATATTTCTATATCTTAATATAAAACATACGATATAATATGAACTGTTTATTATATAGAAACGTATACGGTGCTTTTATTGTTATGTACAAATAGAATCGCCGTCGGTTTCAACAAAGAACCGAGGAAATTGAAAGGCTGAAATTATATCATAGTGGGATGTTTGCAGTCACATCGATGATTACATTAATTCAATGTCATTCCTAATTACAATGACCACCACAAATAGTCTGTACAACATTCGATTACGTGCACTTGCCGACTAAAACCACGAAATAAGTGAGTAGCTATATACGCATATATATATATATATAAAAACGGTCGAAGAATCGAAAATTATCTTAGCAGTCAACGGCGACCGACGTCCGAGGCCCAATTTCCCATATATATATATAATATATATATATAGGCATAACGCGGAACCCAGGGCGTGATGCTACGAGAAAGGTGAATATCGTAGATCGGGTTTTATCATGCACGCGTGCTGGCAGCCCTCCACTTTGACCGTATAAAAACGGCCAATAAAAATATCTTATTATATATACATACGTGTGTCTAGAGCAAGAGAGAGAGAGAGCGTTCAATACAGTGAAATATAAATTACAATCTTGTTACGCGCGCATACACACACACACGCACACGCACGCACACACACGAACACACGCACACGCACACGCACACACACACACACACACACACACACACACACACACACTCACATGCAGGCGCGGGGCTGGGTAAACACATAAAAGACGATCATATCAGACGCAATTATTGACATCGCAATTATTGACATCGCAATTTTATCAACTCAGCACGTTATACTCCCCACCGCCCGTAATAACGGCTGAACAAACATGAACGTGCCGTGGAGCAACGCAGCTAGGATCGAGTGGTGGCGAGGAAAAGAAAGCTATAGGCAACGAGAGAGATCGAAGTTTTATCTTGCTCCCTCCCTCTGTTTCGCACTCCCCATCGCTCTCTCCCTCTTCATCTCCCTCTAACTATGTGTCCCTCTGCTGCAACGCTGTGTCCCGCTCCCTCTATCCCATATCCAACCCCTTCTCTGTCCGCTCTCGCTTTAGTTATACACGCAGACACCACGGCTGTCTTACTGCTGTTATACAGCGGGTATGAATATGTATGTATTTTGGCGTGCATGCATACAGGGTTTCTACCGCTGCGGCAGCGTTTGCGTCAGGCTGTGACGTAGGCGCCGGCCCACCGCCACCAGCGCTCGCCCAATTTTGTTAATTACACCCCCATCGTCTCTGCGCGCGCTTGTGCGGTTGTCATGGCGACGGCGCGCGACGCGGATGAGGACGCAAACTGAGGAGCGAAGGAAAACGCACGAGGGAGAGCG